GAGTCTCTGGTGTCTGGAGTCTCTGGTGTCTGGAGTCTCTGGTGACTGGAGTCTCTGGTGATCAGAGTCTCTGGTGATCAGAGTCTCTGGTGATCAGAGTCTCTGGTGATCAGAGTCTCTGGTGTCTGGAGTCTCTGGTGATCAGAGTCTCTGGTGATCAGAGTCTCTGGTGATCAGAGTCTCTGGTGTCTGGAGTCTCTGGTGATCAGAGTCTCTGGTGATCAGAGTCTCTGGTGATCAGAGTCTCTGGTGTCTGGAGTCTCTGGTGTCTGGAGTCTCTGGTGACTGGAGTCTCTGGTGACTGGAGTCTCTGGTGTCTGGAGTCTCTGGTGATCGGAGTCAGTAGTCGTGTTTCCATCAGTGTTTTTAATGCACATTTTGAAGTATGGCATCAGAAAAGGTGAATGGAAACAGCATGATTCAAAAAAAACTTCCTGTAATTCACATCAAAGTTGATCCGCTCACTTGAGGTTGTTGATCAGCTGTTCTCTGTCTGTCTGAAACTGGTACCAGTACCAGTACCAGAGCGACTGCAGCTGGACCCTCCTCCTGCTGTCAGCGTATTCTTAGTTGTTCCCATGACGTGAAGAGAATAACGTCTTTCTGTACGTCTGCAGACAGCAGGAACATCACCAGAACTAGTTGATGACAGAATAATTACAACTTCCTGACAGCAGCAACACGTTCCACTTCCCTCCATGATCCTGAGATGTGACTTTACTTCCTGTTTACCACACACATGGTCTGATGTAACTCATTCGCTTCAAGCCAATTGAAGGAAACACGTCTGATTCACATTTCTTCGTTTTTTTCCTTTTTGCAAATATTTAAAAAATTGCTCAAAATTCAAATGAAACTTGGATGGAAACACAGGTAGTAACTCAGTTACAGACAGCAGAGTGTTTGTCTGTTTCTCACACTTTGTAGCATGAAGGAAAAAAACACTAAAATAATCCCAGGTCCAATCCAACTTTAGTTTTTTCTACAGATGTCCGATAATATCGACCTATCAGCATAAACATGTAAAATCTCTACAAATCAGTATCTGTTTTTATTCTGATAAAAGCCTGATAAATTAAGGTCTGGATTTGACCAAAGTGTGTTAATAAATGCTTGTGGTCCAGAAACGTTCGCCGGTGTGTGATTGATGACATCGTCAAATTATCTACCTTAATATTGGTTTGAGATATCAGTTAATATCAGAATTAAGTGTTGAACACTATTGTCATATCGAATATCTGAAAAAAGTCAATATCGAGCATCTCTAGTTGATTCCCCAGGTTCGTATGTAACTGACCATGAGTGAGAGCACTATCACGTTGCCAGGTATAACAAACAAACAAACAAACACTATTTCCCTGCATATTCTCACCAAACACCACACACCTCGTCCTACAACTCAGGGTTATATTAGTTTAAAATGGTCACCAGACTATTATCATTTATTGCTATAATTTCAGAGACAGCTAATCGTCCAGCAACATTTGTTATTGTGACAGGTCTAGTTCTGTGAACCTGGTCCAGATCATCAGACCTCCTGCAGGTCTAATAGAAACCTGAGACTGAGTTAGGCCTACAGCAGGACCTGGTACAGGTCCAGAGGCTCGTAACGTTAACAGAGAGGGCAGGGAACCGGGTCAGGTTCAGGACTAAATAAGAATCTGGTTGTCTCGTGTGTCCTGCAGGTCTCGTGTCTCCTATTTTGCTGTGTTTGATGGACATGGTGGTGCTCGAGCGTCTCGGTACGCTGCCGAGCATCTTCACCTCAACCTGGCCAAGAAGTTCCCCTCAGGTAAGTTACCCTGATCTACAGGACCCTGAACCCCTATCAGTTTTCATTTCCTCATGTTTTAATCCATGAGGACTGTAAGTGTCCCAGTCCAGAACAGACGGTCTTTCAGAACCTGTCTCCTGATGGACTGTGTTCTGTTCCAGGACACACTGAAAATGGGGACAGGCTGATTAAGAAGTGTTTGTTGGACACTTTCCGGCAGACGGACGAAGACTTCCTGAAGAAGGCGTCCAGCCAGTAAGACAGAGTTGACCTGAGACCCATTAAGGGTTTCTGTCCCTCAGACCTCAGGAACCTGTGGTGTGTCTCTGAACAGGAAGCCGGCGTGGAAGGACGGCTCTACGGCCACGTGTGTCCTGCTGGTGGACGACATGGTCTACGTGGCCAACCTGGGGGACAGCAGGGTGAGCTGGGCAGAGAACTGTTCCTGGATCAGTCCTGAGGACAGGGGTGGACATGTGACAGTGTCTCTCTGTGGCTGCAGGCTGTAATGTGTAGGACGGAGACAGCAGAGGACGGACAGAAGAAGACGGTGACTCTGGCTCTCAGTAAGGAACACAACCCCACCATCTACGAGGAGCGCATGAGGATCCAGAGAGCCGGAGGGACCGTCAGGTGGATTTAGTCCTCAGAGACGTCTCATTCAACATCTGTCCTCACTCAGCTGAAACTAAGTGTCTCTGTGGACAGGGACGGCCGGGTGCTCGGTGTCCTGGAGGTGTCCCGGTCCATTGGAGACGGTCAGTACAAACGCTGCGGAGTCATTTCAACGCCGGACATCAGGAGGTGTCAGCTGACGTCCAACGACAGGTGAGGACAGAGACGCTCCAAACCCAGAGACCTCCTTATTCTGTCCTCATGAAACTGATCTGTCTGTCCCCGTCTGTCCCCCAGCTTCATCATTCTGGCCTGTGACGGTTTGTTCAAAGTCTTCTCAGCAGATGAAGCTGTGAAGTTTGTCCTCAGCGTCCTCCAGGTCTGTTAGACACCAGAGCCTGTCTTTGTCAAACTTCTTATTGGATCCAGGTGTCTCCAGGAGACAGACATGAGTGAGACAAGAGACGAGAGCTGCAGCAGCTTCAGTCCATTCTTCAGAGGACCTCTGAGAAGTTTGACACATACAGGCCCAGAAGCTTTCTGTGGGCTGGTCCCAGAAGGTCCAGGTTAATCCTGGTTCTTGTCCTGCAGGAGGGGGTCATGGACCAGAAGGCCGGTCTGACGGAGCAGGAGGTGCGCTTTGAAGCAGCCTGTCAGCAGCTGGCCAGTGAGGCTGTGAGACGAGGCTGCGCCGACAATGTGACTGTCATCCTGCTTTCTATTGGCTGCTGAGACCCCGCCCCCAACCACCATCACCATCATCATCATCATCATCAGAACCACCACCATCATCATCATCACCACCACCATCATCATCATCATCATCAGAACCACCACCATCATCATCATCACCACCACCATCATCATCATCATCATCAGAACCACCATCATCATCATCATCATCAGAACCACCACCACCATCATCATCATCATCATCAGAACCACCATCATCATCATCAGAACCACCACCATCATCATCATCATCATCAGAACCACCATCATCATCATCATCAGAACCACCATCATCATCATCATCATCAGAACCATCATCATCATCATCAGAACCACCATCATCATCATCATCATCAGAACCATCATCATCATCATCAGAACCACCACCATCATCATCATCATCATCAGAACCATCATCATCATCATCAGAACCATCATCATCAGAACCATCATCATCATCATCATCATCATCAGAACCATCATCATCATCATCAGAACCATCATCATCAGAACCATCATCATCAGAACCACCACCAACATCATCATCATCATCATCAGAACCATCATCATCATCATCAGAACCATCATCATCATCAGAACCATCATCATCAGAACCACCA